GGGGGATGCGCGCCTGACCCGCACAAGCGCCTGGCGTGCATGGTGACGGCTGGCGCAACATGGCGCAACAATTAGGCTGGTTTTTCCTGCTCCGTCTGTTTAATTACTCTGTTGGGATGCACTGGCATCTGACCTTGTTACCGACCTGGCCATGAAGATCCAATCTGTCAAACACACGGCGGACCGCGGGTCAAAGGGCGCTTGCCAGCGCGGCGCCAATGCGTGTCTTAACTGTTAACCGTCGTGGTACGGTTCAGGTTGACATGTTACGCAACAACACCAACAACAGACACTGTCGAGCCCCAAAGGCTGGCACGCGATAGCCAAGGCCTTGTCGTTCTCGGCACGCCGCTCGGTACTGACACAACCTCCTGGCCGATACCACATGGCCTCGCCCTTCAGCAAGCAATGCGGCCCGAGCGTCGCGACACTTACCCCGAGCTGTCGCACTCGCCGCGATGCCACCTGGTGGTTGGCCCTGTCGAGGTCAGAAGCTGCTGGGGTTCCGAGCCCGCAGCCTTCCTGAAGCTCTTTGCACGAACGCGAGCTGTGCACACGCTCGCGTTCGGTCGGCTTTGCGGAAGGCGGCGGGCATATGTGTCTCGGTGGAGTAGCATCACCGCTGTTGCGGCACGGTGCGGAGAGCCGTACCGGTTAGACATAGCGTGAAGGCAGTGTGAAGGCCGTGCTGCTTGCCCGCTTCCAAGCCTTCCTGCGCGGGAGTGGGCGCCGTTGCTTGACGAAACCTTTTCGCAACCGTTGCCGCAAAGCCACCACTCTCGTGAGCCCGATGCTGAAGCGCGTGCGTGCCGTGCCAGGCATATAGCCCACCTTGGTGAATTGTCGGCCGCTAGGCAAGGCAAACCTTGCACTTTTGCGGTCGTAAAAAGGCGCGTGAAAAAAAAAAACCTTGTTGGCAGACCCATAAGCCCCACCCACCCACGACACGTTCGGAGCAGTGTCCAATGCTGAGCGGCGCCCCCCCGAGCCTTAGCACACCCCTCTTGCCCCGATCTTGCTACATGGGATCCTCCCGTGCCGGTCGTGCTCAACCGCATTGCACTCCTTGCCAACCTCCGCCGTGCGCGCAAAAAGGACCAGGTCCATCCGGCCATACGGCGGAAATTATCCGTGTTGTCCTCGCTCGATGATGCCGACATTTTCCGATGCCGCCGTGCCAGCCCTTGGACTTGGGCGCGTCGTCGGGCTGACAACAGTTTGCGGGGCGAACGCGTCCTTTCGTACCTGGATGACGTTACTGTTGCGGCCGGCCCGGAGCGAGCATTGGATCTTGTCCGGCGGTTTGTGCACCACCTCGCGTTTCACACCCGCCTCTCCTTGAACTTATCTAAAACAGCCATCTGGAATGGAGTTGGTGTTTGCCCCCGATGGCCTGCATGCCCTCTCAGCCACCTCCTACACTCGTTTTGCTTGGAGCACCGTTCGGCACGCCGAGTTCGTGCACGCACAGTTACCGCAAACGCTCCTCAACCAACTGCCGAGTTGCACGACACGCAAGACGGCCGGTTGCTGTTGTGTTGCTGCGCATGCGCACGGCGCAGTATGCGCTCTGCACGCCTCCCACTGCGATCATGATGACGCTGTGTAAAGGTGCCTTGACTCATTTTTGTTCGCTGACGCGGCGGGATTACCTGGGCAAGTTGCCGCTCGTGTGCAGTTGGCCCTGCGCCATGGCGGCCTCGGCCTACGCAGTGCGGTCCGTCATGCGAGACCGCCCTTTCGCCTTCCGACTTGGGCGTCACACGAGCCGCTGCGAACTGCCCGCGACTCGCTGTACGCCGTTGGTTTTGAACCGCCGTCCTGACACGACCTGCTCCATGGAGAAGAGCCGCCCTCTCGTGCAAGACGAGCCACAGCTTGACAACAAGCTGGCAGCGTGCCGCGTCCCCGGCCGTTGACGGCTTCTGCCAGCGAGCCTTGTTGCGAGAACAGGACCGTTCGCGGCCCACATATTCACTGCAATCGCAGGCGGACTTATGCTGAACTCCACCGCGAAGGAGGCGCCGTTCGGTCGTGCACGCCTGCTGCGCCTCGCCCGGCCGCGCAGGCCGTGTTGGTGTTGTGGTGGAGTGGCCTCGCGGAACTGCAACCACTGGTGCCGTACGTCAAGCAGGTTTATGCAACGCAGAGTGTCCACACGCGGGTCGACGCCCAAAGGCGTACCCAGCGTACCCACGACATCTTGCAAGGTGGAGGCGGCGAACAAGGTGATCCATTGACGCCCGGCATCTATTCCCTTACACGGCATGAAGCCCTGCGCCCGGTCCAAGCTCGCCTCCGCGATGGTGGCGGCGTGTTCGCGCACCTCGACGACATCCCCCAAACGAATCCGGGAGCTGTACTCTGCGGTCGAAGACGCCTTATGGAACCACGCACGTGCCCAGTTCAACCCCGGCAAAACCAAGATTTGGAATGCGGCAGGTGAGGAGCCGGCCAATTTTGGCGAAAAGGCCGCCCGACGGCGGCCCGGTTTAGGTTGGAGATTGGACGCTCCCGCGCGAACAGCAGGGGCTCACCGTGTTGGGGACGCCGCTCGGTTCCGGTTGCCTTCCGCAGAAGCGCAACTTGCGAGGCTGGCAGCGCCCCGCCGCCCATGTTTCTGACGAGAGCGCGCTTGAGACGCATTTTGCAAACCTTTCACTTGCGTCCCTGGCGCTGCTGCTGTCGCAGGCAGGCCCACATTCCAGCCGCAGCAGTTGTGTCATGCCGACACATGCGGATGTCACCGTTCCCAGTGACCTCTTCCGAGTGATGCTTCTCCGCCGCAAGCCGGGGCGAACTCAATGCTCTGGGGGACCAAGCGCAAGCGCCGTCACACCTGCCCTCAGCGCTGCACGCCGGTGCCGCTTGTAGTTTTCGGCATCTGAGTTGGGGGCCGCTGGGCACCTGAAGCTGCCAACTTCGTCCGCTTGCTTGCGCGTGCGCGCGCTGCGAGCGTGCCTGCCATGCTCTGGCCCGCCGCCCAAGCCACTTTGGTCCTGGGGCATCCTTGCCGTCACTGCCCAGCCTGCGCTTGCCGCTTCCATACTACACCTCCCTCTCGCCACGAGTGCAGCGGTGGGGGGGCTGAACCCGCTTTGCACGAGCTGTTGGCTGACTTGCGCTGGCACGAAGCGCCGCTAGCCGTGCTTCGTAACTAGCTCCGGGGACTGCGCGTTAAGTGAGACGCTTGCAGAAAGGTGCGAAAAAAATGGCCTCATCGCCGCTGCTGCGCAGTGAGCGCTTGCATCCACGTTCTTCAAGCTCCTCCTGCAAACCGAGCCTTGTGCTGCCGGACCGGCCGGCTTTTGCACGAGCTCCTCGCGGACGCCCGATGGCAAATCGGGCCGCAGCCGAGCCGCGTCCCGGCCCACGGAGAGGTATACGCTTGGATAAAGGACAAAGCCCTGTAAAAACTCTAGATATGATTCTCCCGGCCATACCTTCATGGAAAGCACGTCAAATGGGAAACACAAAACGCAACGTTGTTTTCGTGCTGACCAGCATGGATTGCTAGATGGTGAACCTTGGAGGTAAGAGCTTGTGCAGGTTGCGATGTTGTTGAGGTCAGCCAGTGCTGAAAACTCCTTCGCGATTTCTCCACTTCAGGTCATGGCTGGTGTCGCAGACGTGCAAACAACCGTGCGGAGAAGATCATTACCGCTGGAATCTTTGCCATCGGTTGCCAAATTGGGCCAGTGGACCCGCCGGCGAACACACATTGCGAGCACCGTTGGCTGAATGGGTTCGGGTCTGCCTGACAATGTCAACTTGGGATCTTTGCACAGGGTTGAGTATGGCCTCACCTTATTTTTCGAGCGCAGTACAAAGACTCGTTGCCATGTTGCCTCACCGCGACCAACTGGCTATGTTGAGCTTAGAGGGGCTTTCGGCAGAACCTGCTGCTACGATGCGAGCCGTTCACAACTTCCTGCAGCTCGACTTACCGCGACAGTTCGATTCATCAACAAGTCCTGCTGCATACAATGTTAATGTTGCAGGTGCAACGTGCAGGCAGGGCATGCACAAGAGTGTGGACAGCAGGATCAATATGTTCTTTCGACGAGAGCGACGCTATTTAGCTTCCGCACTTAAGGCGTTCGCGCCCGGGAGTTTGCAACTCCCTGCCGGGTGGCGACGATTCTTGCGACCATTTCCGAACATGACGGCTGACGTCGCAGAAAAGCTGGCACGTCAGCCACTCAAGCCGGTCGTGGTATCCACGGCTTCAAAAGACTTGTCGCAGTGAAGCTTTCTATGTGGACTGCCAAAGTGCGGTCCCCCCTGTGATTGATTCTCGCAGGAGGTTCCGAAAGGAGCATGCGTGGCAGGTGTGGATTATGCCGCGTGTGGGGCAATGATGGCTTCATGAGTTCATGAGGACTTTATGGGCATAGTGGCATCGACCCAAAGGCTCAAGTCTCAATACCACATTCATTCTAGAAGAAGGAGCCACAGCAGCAACGTTGTCAGCGTTGAATTTCTTGCAGACGAGATGCGAAGTGTGGGCATGCAATGCGGGCCAGGGTCCAAAGCCAACACCTCAGTCATCGCTGATTTCAATGTGCTTGGCACTTTTGCAACAATTCCGCAAGGAAGTTATTGCCTTTCCGGACGGGGCTCGAATCAGCCTGCGATCGAACATCAACCGCTTGCCTGGCTTGAGTTACACAAGCACACCAAAGATGAGACACGCCGCAATGCTCGGCAGGTCTTGGCAGCAGGGCCAAAGGTCTCGGAGTTGGGGGATTGCCGTCTGAAGAGGTCCTTCCACGAAATGCCTTTGGCTCCAGAGCTGTGATGCGTGTCACGCCGAGGATGATCGGGTTCTTCAGCGATTCAGCAAGAGAGGCCCAGCCATGACAGCCGCCAGCACCCGAGAAATGTCGTGTCTTTGGTATCGTTTTCTGTCATTCCGCCGACGCTTCTGCAGGCACCGGAACAAGTTCCTGTCGGATGCGGACTGTGTTCAGCTCAGTTTGCAGGCAGCCACAACATGCTGAAACGGGAACCCCGCGCGAAGGTGCAGCAACCCTTCAGCTTTATTGGCTTGCCAGAGGCCCGTGTTGAGTTTCGTGAAGCTTGTCACTGATCTGACGGGTGTTGAGTGGCTAAACTTTAGCTTGCAGGTGCAAGACCACATTGTTTTGCGATGCAGTTTGCCAGAAGCGCGCGTGGTGGGATCCCTGCGAGCTGCAGATTCTAGTTTGGCTTCCAGACTTCTGAGTTGCAGGCCGGTGCACAAACTAAACTGCGAGACTCTGGAGGTTGGGCTACAGAAGCCCATACTCGTACTGTGGGCTTGGCAGCGCTTTGAACAGGATCGTTTTGCCAAGTACGACAAGGAGCAGGACGCATGCGTTGCAGTAACGAGTAACGATGGGAGTCGTGGCGTATCGTGCCGCCAGGACCAGCTCGAACAAGAGGAGATCGACAGAACATGCCTGCACCAGCGAGAAGTCGAAGAAGCTGCGGCAAAGGTTTCCCACCCGTGAAGCTTGTCGGGCGACGTGGCCTGTTTAGTTGGGAGCTATTCAGGAGGAAGAAATGGCAGCAACGCTGGAGGTCCACCCGCCTCCCTTTCTAGCCGCAAAGCAGATTCTTTCACGCTTGTGGCTCCCGAGAAGGCCTTCTTCAGCCGTGGCACCTCCAAGAAGAAGGTGCATTCACCGACAGTGTGAATCGGTTTTCTTGTGAATGTTTGCCAGGCAGAGTCTAAACGACCAGACTGGCTTCCTCGAAAGGCTTGTTGGACGCGGGCAGAAGATGTGCAGCTTTCTCTTCAGAGTGGTGTGCCAGGAGGAGGTTCCTGAGCCTGAAGAAGAGCTCCAACAGAAGGCCGGGCAATGCTGCCGCTTCCTGCAGGCTTCCTGCTCTCACGGCCCGTGCATTGTGCTAAATTGTGCTACCTACAGCTGTAAGGCTGCGCCGGTACAGCAGAGTGGCAAAGTCACAGAAGGCATTTGCAGAGAGACTTGCTAGTTGCTCAGATCATGGCCACTTTAAGGGCAGTGCTGCTCAATAGTTCATGAGCAGCTCTGCTCAGGTGTGGTTGGCACGGAACTGCTGCCAGAAGCTCGGCAGAGAAGCCGTACAGAAGCTGCACGGGATCATTCGTGATCGCTTCCGAAGCAGGTCGAAGCCAGGGTGCTATTTGACCTTGCGCTGTTCACACATGGCTTATTCTTATTTGGGTCAAGTCAACAGGTTAATTCAGCTGGCCGCTATCTGCTTTCACTCAAACGGGCACCGTTGGAACCCGCTAAAGAGTTGTTGGCTCAAAGTAGACGGGATGTCCCATGCCCGCATTGAGCTGAACGACTGCACCTTGGCTCGTGTTGCAGAGATAGATCGACGTAATCGTCATGCTCTGAACCTAGTCTCGAATCAACATTTGTGCGTGTGCGTGTGTGTGTGTGTGTGTGTGCGTGTGGGTGCGGATCGCTCGCTTTTCTTCGGCAACATTTTCAATGTGGCCTTGTCCTGTCTGCCATCCATTTTTTCCAGACATATAAGCTCGCTTCCGACGAAAGTGAATCCGCGGAGACCAGGTCAAAGTTTCGTTGCCAGCAGACCAATACAGATATCCGCAAGATGTGCTCCAAATACTGAGGTCTTCACGTTTTCTGCCACGTGACTGAATTAGCTCAGAACATCTTCCACAAGTGGCAAAGTCTTCGATGCACCGGGGCGTAGGCATGCCGAAGACAGATGCTGCATGTCTGCAACTCGGCGACAGGACGAGTGCTACAACGTCGTCCGTTGCCCCTTTTATCCGATTCAGTCGGACTCATCACCGTAGGTAGTACCACTGATCATCAAGTTTGGAGGAGTGCTGGAGTCAATCCGAGGAATCCTGCAAACATGATAGGACGGGCCGAAGCTGATGATTCGTTGGGTTTCGTCTGTGCAGTAGAAGAGTGAAGAGCAAGCCGACAGACATCGGCCAATGCGATTTCAGAGATTTCGCAGAATGCAATGTAACGTTAACACAAAGGCCGAAGGTAGGTACTATTCTTTTCTCACCCGAGCGGACGGCAATCCGAAATGTTGTGCGACTTCATGTCGGTAACGGTAATCTTTCCTTTGCCTCCCGGGTTAATGGACGGTGCAGAGAGCCTTACACCTATATCTTTATGCAAGTCCCTTGACGGAAGAATTCGTCATGGCGAGCGGGAGCCAACAGCACTCATGTGACGAGCTGTCAGCTGGTTGATCTCACGACCTGAGCGTCTGCCCTGCAGGAAACACTTGCCTCATGCAATTCATTTACCTCTTCGCAACCATGCGAATCTTGGGTGCCGTCTCCTCACCGACTCTCGACATCATCGGAGTACGGGGGCTTCTTTATGGGGTGCAGGGCGGCCGGAAGCACGCAAGTGGATAGTCATGTGTCGGTGAGGCGCAGTCAGTTCATCAGCGACACTGCCAGGAGACATATTGACAGAGGTGAAGCTACAGAAATGGAGGCAGGGTGGCAGTCTGCCAGCATGTCATCACAGACCGTAGCAAGTGGCCCCTATGCCAGGTTACAAAAGATGGACTTGTGCATAGAACGATTATTCGGGGCGGCAGTGATTCTCGAGATAAAGCAGAAGTGAAGCAGGCGCACGCGGGTGATTCACAGCACTGCTTTTCGAAAGTGGTCCCGGATTCATTTGCCATCGTAGGCCGGAGCCGTTGATGCGAAGGCAGAAGCCACCTACTCGAGCTTTGCCAGCGTTCGCGCCAAGTCCTCGCAGGCCAGGAGCTTTCCAAGCTGGCACTCGCACACATCGCACACTCCCGTTTGTCCCAGCGTCGGTGGCCAAAGCTTTTGCAGCTGGAAAGGCCCATGCCAGAGCGCCAGACAGTGAGGAGGCGGAGGAAGATGAAGAGGAGCTTGAGACCACACTTCAGTCGTCCACAGCGATGGCATCCACCACGAAGACTACCAGCACAGCTTCCAGTCCTTTGCCCACCCCTTCGCCCGTCGGCGAAGTCGACGCTGGAGCGGACGCGGCTTAGCAAAGGTTCCGGGTAGGTCCTTCTTTGACTGCCCGTGTGGCGAAGCAAGGTCGATTGTCAGTGGGAGACGTGGGCGGAGTGGAGCGCCTGCCAGTTCACTTGTGGTGGAGGCACCACTTCCAAGTTTGCACAAGTGTTGAAGCCAGTCTTGCTGACAAAAAGAAAGTACTGAGGAGAATCCATTCGGACTCGGAAAGTTCGCCAAATGGCACAAGGCAAGGGGGCCGCTCAGCGGTGTCTAGTGTTGCCCGCAGCAGATGTCGAGCTCATGTGTGCGAGTGGACGTGTTAAGATGTTCGAGCAGAATCCAAGGCTGCGTGCGACAACAACGACAAAGAAAGTCGCGACTGTAACACGAACCCTTGCCCGATTGATTGTGCTGCTTGGCTAGGCACATTCAATACAAGAGCTGTTGTGTCCAGGTTAGGAGTGCCCAACTCGCAAGAGTTTCGACGATGAGGTCTGGGATGAGTGGGCTCCCTGGGGAAGCTGTTCGGCAACTTGTGGACTTGGAACCAAGGCGGCTCTTGGGTTTCCATCAAGAGCGGCATTCCATGTTGTGTGGTGATGGTGACATGTTGTCGTCGCCGTTGTCGTCGTCGTCGTGGTCGTCGTCGTGGTCGTCATCGTGGTGTTTGTGGTGATTGTGGTGGTGGTTGTTGTTGTAGTAGCCGCCACGGATCAGACGGCCGCGCAGTTTGGAGAGGCTTTCGAACAGGCTCTGGGCGCAACTCCCATGCTAAAGGTTCCGACCGGGCTCCTTTTGAACGGTAAGGGTTTGTCCCTTACGCTGAGCCATGTGCCTCTCATTCTCTCGAACCGGTCTGATCCGCCAGGTCCCAATTCCTGCACTGAATGCTGGGCAGGCGGTAGGGTTTCCACCTTCCGCGCGGTGGAGGAAGTCATTCAGCTCGCTTTGTGACGAAATCAGCGGCCGGCAATGCTGCCGATGCACTCACGTAATTTTTCTCAGGTTCGAAAGGAAACCTTTAAGCATGCGTGCCAAGTAACAGCCGTTTTCGTATCGCCGTGAAGAAGAAGCTGTCGCGAGGGGCTCTGCCCGCCACACCACCTTGGTCACCGGCCTCCCTGGTGTTGGCGTTACAGCCGAATCCGCTCGCCATGTTCGACATTGGTTTGCACATAAAATCAGATCGGTGCTAAAACAGCCTGCGCATACTTCGCATGTCCCTACTACGGACTTGTTTGCTGTTCATGCGATTCAGGATCCTGTGAAGACGTTGGTTGATCGCATGCAGGGACGATTGCCTAAGCTGCCGGGATAGGTGCTGGCACGCGTAGGACGTTCATTCATGATTGCAACGTAGGGTGCCTGTGCGCGGGAAGGCCGGGCCTAGGTTGCATGCCCCACCCCACATCAAGGCTAAACATGCAAACGGCATGTGCAGGCCTGTCCGCAACATTTTTATTTAAATCATCAAACATGACTGAGCCTGTGAAGAGCCCAGACCACAAACGTGCAAGCTGCCCCGACAGCTGCGGATGCACCTTTGACCCCGACAGCACCGGGGCCGGCTGGCAGCGGCAAGTCGCGGCCGAGCCGCACCACACGCGCCTTCACCACTGAGCTCACGCAGGGCTTCCTATACTTCGTGAGGAGCAGCTCGCTCTTCTGCAGCTGCAGACTTCCCTGGTGCACAAGGTCCCTGCAAGATGGTAGCGGACTGGCAGAAAGAGCACAAGCCAGGCGGTCCGGACCCTCTTGGATCATGTTCGCATTATGTAGCAGGAGCCCTATTACACGAACCTTCGAAATCTCAGCGGACTCCACCGGGGTTGGATGCGACGGAGATGAACTATTTTGTCAAGCTGGTTGCGTGTTGGTGCGAAACCACACGAACATCTGGTCCATAGGGTGGCCCATTGCTCGGTGAAGCTCAGTGCCAAGAAGGAACACCGGAACACCTCATCCTAGACTATCGGCCTGTCTTGCACTCGGTACTCTGGTCTCATGGCTGCCCTGCACGACACCTACGAGGCTGAGCGGCTGAGCAAGAAGGCGCCAGGCGGGCTGGCACGCAAGGCTAGCGGCAAGCAGGGCTAAGATCATAATGATCGTGCCATGGAGAGACAGGGTGTCTGTCGAACCGTCCGAACTGTAGCAAAACCGGAGGCCATGCCTGTCCTCTCCTCAGCTAGTCGTTGGATGGTCTACTAACCCGGCTTTCGGATCTCCATTTTGATTCTGACTCGCTCGCTTGCTGGCCCTAGCTGAAGCATACGGTGTGAGCGACCAGTGATAAAGTTGCGAATTTGGTTCGCAGCAGGAAAAGGATCAGGCTAGCGTGGCCTAGGTTTCATCTTTGTGCAGCAAATTGGTCAGCAGGCTCTTGCTGTCATCTGGGTAGCCTGGCTTACAGCGAATATTTCTGTGGAAAGAGGCTTGTCGTCTTGGCCACAGGATTGCTACTTCCACGAAGGACAAGGATGTGACCATGGTGCTGTGTCTTCTGCTTCGCTGGCTCCGCAGAAGACTGCTGGCAAAAGTCGAAAAAACGAGTGGGGGCTCTGCCCACTTTGTTCCGAAATCTGGGGCCCTGCCCACAAAGGCAGCGACTCAGTCAAGGGAAGACGGACCGCCCACCATTGGAGCGGATGTCATGGTCTTGCTCTCTCCTTCCATACCGCCTCAGGGCATCAGACATGGGTCGCGTGCTGTCGTTGTCGCAGTTTATCAACTCAGGCGAACCGCGCCCACTAGGCAGTGCGCTACTTAAGGTTCTGTCCCCCTGCTTTTGAGCAGGGCGAGTGAGAGCCAGCCGCCGGTCGTTTGGGTCAAATGATGCTAAGGCCTTGCAGGACGCGGTCCGGTCCAACAACAAGCGGGCTCAGCGGCCGCCTGCCTGCCTCTGTGGCCCAGGAGGCCCTTCTGGCGCAGCATCGGCAAGCGGATAATCGAGCCACCGGCTTTCTGTGTGAGGTGGATCAAGCCATGCGAACGGCGACCAACATGTTGCCTATCAGATTCTGAAACAGCTTAGGCCTTGGCAGCCCTCCCCTACGTCCCACTTGAAGGACAAAGGTGGCTACCTTCTCAGTCCTATAGGCAAACTGGAGGCGCTGAGTCAGTATGCAGTATGCTGAGACGTGGGGCGGGGCATGCCGACTGTCGGGCCCGGCCTTCCCACGCGCAGGCACCCTCAGAGATGAAAAGGTGCGCAGCTATTGCGGGCAAGCACCTACCCCATAGGTAGGTCAGTATACCTGGTTCGTTAAAAAACAATGTAACATCCTTCAGGCACCCGCTTGCGATCCGGGGCCACGGCTTGCGCTGGACGCGTCGAGTCATCCCCGATGTAGAGTGTCGTGCGTCGGGATAGAACCAAGAGGATCGGTGATGGCCTTCACGAAGCCAAGTGCCCAAGTGATAAACACCAGACGATAATGCGTACGTGTACCATTCACGTGTCTCGCCCTCCTGCCATGTGGGGATGCGGACTGTGTGGCGCAGGTCAAGGGGCGTCTTTAGCTTTTGGCCGTGACTCCACCGTGCAATGGCCCCCGGGAGGATCGGAGCTGCCCACAACAGATCCCGCTGGAATGTGTTATCAGCTATCGCACTATGCTGTGCATAACTACAGGTGGGACAATCCGTGTCCTAGAAGTTGCATGGTGCCGCTGCTTTCAAGCAGCAATGCCAGCAATGCTGTCAAGAACTCCGCTGCACCCATCTTGGGATGAGAAAACGGAGAGCAAAGAGACGAAGGGGGTTCAGGGCCTTGGGTCCTGCGAGTGATGCAGCGCTGCGTCAGCTGCCCAAGCTCCGCCAGAATATCGTCAGCTCCAAATACAAGTGAGAGAGCCTGCAGAGATGAGTTGACATAGCAGGTGTTACCTGCGTTGTGCATAGTGCGGACAGTAGCCAACGGCCTGCGCGGCCTAGTGTCCTGGGGCAGCCCGGGTCTGCTCAGGCTGTCCGGTGACCAAAGAGGGAGGAGGCGCCTTGGTGGATTCTCTTTCTCAGAGCAGGAGTGGAGAGACAGAGTCTCGACCGTTCTCTTCGGACTGAGTCCCCGATGATTCGGGGAGCCGCGGGGCCGCGCGCCCGACTCCAACAGAAGCATACCTGCAAAACGATGACGCACTGTTCGGCATGCTTCTTTGTGTTATAGACTGGCTTCGCGCAGAATGGGCACTCGTTTCCCTTGATCATCTGCGCCGTGTAGCCTTTGGGATCAGTGACTTGACCTGTGAACGATCCGGAGTCCAAGAGCAGCAAATAACACATCTGTGTTCCAGGTTGCATGCTTCAAGCAAACTAGCAAGGCTGCCCAAGTCCTCGCGAGCGGAACCCTAGATCCTCTTCTTCAGCTTGCGCGGTGCAGTTGCTGCACCACCTGAGTGTGCGTTTGTTGCGAGGCCGTTTGGGTGAGGTCCTTGGGCGTTGCAGGCTCTGGGCATGCTCCCGATAGTAGATTAGTAGATGATCTATTAGACCCTTCCACGTCTTTGGCGTGAAGCTCCCTTCGAAACTCAGCTGGTATGCACCGCAAAATCTGTTCCCTATGCATCTTAGTGAGTTGTCTCTGCAAACTCCAGAGCCTCGGCCGGGATGATGCCGGGGCCTTGGCCGTCAGCTTTGTGAGCCGATCTTGCATACGCTCCCTCAACTTTTGGACCGGGTCCTGCGTGGTGCGTAGCTCAATCAAGTCACTCGTAGGGATGTGCGAAGCATGCGCTGGCTGGGTTAAGACCGACCGCAGCTTGCGCACATACCATCCGGTGACGAGCTGCTTCCTCAGCCAGCCCAACCTCCGGAAGGCGTGCGATAAGTGTCTTGAGACCCACCTCTGAGGCTTGCTACTCTTCTGTTGTTATTAAAGCAACGAACCTGTTGCAGCTTCTTGTTAGCCTGGGAAATGCGGTGGCGCAGCGTAAGCATCTCAAATCCACCATAGGAAATCATTATGCCCAGACACTTGATGCTGCTTTAGCCAGCAGGTGTGCAGCTTAGTTCGGAGGCGGCCTCCCTGCCGGCCAGCTTTACTAGCATTGAGCACTTGGCCTGGTTGACTCTATAAGTTTGAGCGCGGACACCGCCTCGAGTAGCTGCAGTATGAGTTGATGCGCGGCCCGGAGGTCGGCCTTGGACCGTATTGCGCGGTGGACTGTGAGGACTGTGAAGTCGTCAGCGTAGCCAGTCAGAAACCGCTGGGCCGCATCTAAGGATCAGGCGATGGATCCACCTGCCGGTGAGGACGGAAAAGAGCGCCGGCCCCAATTCGCAACCCTGCTTTTTGCCCGCTATCGTTTCGACCTCAGCAAGCCTGCCTTGAGAACGCTAGCGATACTTCGAGGCATGGACGAGACTTGACAGTCAGGCATCCGCCCCAAGTTCCAAGCTCCTGAAGTAGATCTAAAATTTTCTGCGGAGAAGTCAAAGGCAAACGTTATCCCACCCATGGGAGCAGGTGGACAGAGTCGCCTCTGTGTAGATCGGACCGGCTGGATTTCGCAGTAGTTCGCAGAGCGACAGAGAGCTCGAACTTCCGGGGCATGTTGAACGGCCCTGCGTCGTGCATCAGAGAAGATACGCAAACTAGGGCAATGGCAGCATGTCGGGCAGCGTAAACGCGGCTGCAGCGGCGCTTTGGCCGCTCCTGTGAGACCTTTAGCTTCGGGCCTCAGTATCCCCCCAGATGTCTGATACCTGCAAGGTAATGGGCTCACGCGGTGTGTGACACAGCCACACCTCGATGGGAATTGCATCTAGCGATCTGCGATGCTCAAGGCAGGCACTTTTTGAATGTCGAGGGCCGTCAGCTTCGGGCAAGGTTGCGCAAGAAAGGTCGCAAGACGCCAGAAGAGAGACAGAGCCACGATGCCAGAGTCAGCGGTGCAGGCGCGTCCGCGGAAGTGTCAGGAACGGAATTAGTCGGAGAGGTGGTCCGCCTTCGCTTGTGGTCCGGACTCGTAGCTTTGTCAGACATGATTGGCCACCAGCCAAGATTGCTGCGTGGTGCATTCATGGCTGCAGGAAGGGGGCTGACAGTTAGTCAGGCATATCCCCTGGGCCTAGCTGCTGCTCGGATCAGGGTCTTCTAGGGTGGGTGTGGACCCCGGGGGCGGTACTAAGGGACCTAGTCCCGATGAGCACCCCCCACCCTCCCTGCTTCCCGCCGGCTAGGGCGAAAGTACCCTCGACGTTTGTCCCCGACCGTTCAGGGTACCACGATTCATACATGTGTCAGTGTGCCTGCATTATTCGGGAGGACGGGCACCGCGCTCTCACAGGCTCAAATTGCTGCGAGTGGATCATGAGAGTGGCATCATTTTTTGGCATCTTAGAGATTGTTGCGGGCTGGCATACTGCATTGCACTTTCATCTGCCCTAGCATGACTTCAATCTATTGGCCTCTGGCTGCTCCTGCAGTCGATGGACCTGAGGGCGGGTTTCGCAGCTTTTCGATATATACAGAAGGACTACGTGGGGACTCCGCACAGGAGGTTCCCTCGACTTTGGCCGCGTTTTGCGGGCCCACATCAGGTAGTGGCCTTTACAGATCAGCATTTGCTCGTAATCACAAGGATAGCACGTGTACGTTGACATGCAGGGAGTGTTTGCGAAGTTTTCGTGATGTTTGACTTGCGGCATTCGGTGGTTACAGCTCCGCTGACAAGCCTGGACATGCGATGTTGCTTGGGAGGGTTTCCCCAAAGCCTCCAGCCTCACTTGACTTTTGCAAGTGTTTTTGCGAAGCGGGTTTCAAGACTGCTCGAAGACCATTTCACCATGGCCTAGTCCTTGCAAAGCGGCTCCGACAATAGCTGCGTTTCGTTCGAACGGGGCTGTCGCAGTTTATTTTTCAGACTGGAGGCTCTGTGCAGTTAGCTTCTGCCGCCTTTGTGAGGCCCTCCTGGGTTGAGTTTTCATCACCGGATAAGAAATCCTGGGCACATGGTGAGATTGATTTCGTAGAGCTTGCAGTACTTGATGCTTCGGGTACAGCGTGTTAGCCTCGTTTGGAATACCGCTGTGTCTTTATAGTTTGGCAAGCGCAGGCCGATTATGAGGATGTGCGGGTTGAAGCTAGGAGACTTGCACTAAGTCTTCCCCGCCCGAGGGTGTACATGAGTTGCTGCAGTGCTGATCGCCGCCTACTGGCATGGGTGCGAAGGAACCAGAAGGCTCTGCAAGACCCCTGGGCATCTGCTTGGTAAGTGAGTACCCCCGTCTTCGGTATGAGTGTTTTTTTTATGCTTACTGTAGTCGATTGTTGGCTGTGGTTCCTTGCGCTCTGCCTGCTGGGAGAGTGTTGTGAAGTCCTTACCATGCGATTTGGAAGTGTCAAAAAGAGCGTTATGGACAACTGTGACAGAACTCTACATCTCATATCCCCTTCCAGATAGGCCTTATG